TTTTTTTGGTACTGGGAATTGAGTGACATGTTCTTGATGTGACACTATTGAGAAATGTGCAGAGCAGCTTAGCAAAGTTTATATTTTTGTGAGTGTACATAACTCATTTGTTTGTGGAACCCTCCTGGTAAGAGTTTGGATGTGTAGAAGGCCCAGAAAGGTATTGGAGTTGATTGCACATGGGATACTTGGAGCAGTTAAGTAAACACTACATCAAACCAAGTTGTCCATATCTTGATTTAGAGGGAAATGATTCAGAACATACTTGCTCTGATTCTACAAATGCATGATATGAAACTTTATACCTATTTAAGTGAACAAGGGTTATAAGGAAGACCAGATTCCTTTGGCAATGGGACTACAGGTCATTTCTATGGTCAAGCCCTAAGCCATGACCCGGGGAAGTTATCTTTCTTTGATCTTAGTGCTGGTCAGCATGAGTTCTCACCTGTACAGACCCTTGTGTGCTCACTTGCACCCTAGACCAGCACTGGCCACTGTTGGAGTTTTCATGCTCCTGCTCTGGGTTGATGGAGACAGAGTTGCCACATGGTGTGCTGATGATCTGCACAGAGCTCTGCCAAGAGAGTACCTGACATTTGAGCCACAAGTTATCATTCACTCCTCCTGGCCATCCCCACACAGCCCCCTCATAGAAAAATCTCTCCACGTTAGGCAGCATAGGGCGGTATATGTATAATCTTGAGACAGAGAGGTGCGAGAGGACAGCTTGAATCAGTTGATTAACCTCCCATCAGATAAACTGATCCCCAATAATCCCGTAACTATAGACCTTCGATGCCTGTCATACTTCCAACCATGAAGTAGGAAATAGGAAGTGGACAGGTCAAAGTTGGGACACTTTAAATCTCCCCCTGTTTGGGTCAACCCCTGCACATCCCCCCAAATCCATTGGTGAATGACTGCCCTTAAGAGGCTGGCATTGGCATGGGGTTATCTCTCTTACTTGTCGGCTCCTCCTGAACATTAGCTTGAAACATCCACAGTGAGGTGGGAACCAAGATCTGAAAAGGCTCTGGTTCCTGTGCCTTTTGCGGCTAGAACTTTGGAAACCAGGAAAACAGCAAAAGCTCATCTTCTACTCTTGAATGTCTCCCTCCAAGTGATCAGGGCAGGAGATAGATTCAAAAGTGTGGAGGCTTGGTTACCAGAGTTCCAAGCCTTGTTGGGTTCTATCACCGAGGTCATGAGGTCATTTCTTCAAAATTCCATTACAGTTAGGATGAGGAAGGGGATGAATGTTAGGGTGAGGGAACAAGATGGCGTTTGGGTTGAGGTTTGTTGGGATGTAGTGGAGGTTTAACATGAGATTTGCACTGTGTTATGGCTGAGAATGAGAGATGAAGTGTTAGAAATTAGGTTCCAGGTTTTTGAAAAGTATTTCCTTCTTAGTACATCCTTGCAGTAGCTGTAGTTACACACAGTGGGGAGTAGGTGCACATTCACCGTAGAGTTGTTTTGTAATCCCCTTCCCTCTTCCTCTTCTAAATCCCTTTTGCTTGATTTCATTAATGTTATTAAACTCATCTCATGCACAAAACACACAGTGCTCACATTCACTTAGCAGATTAAATTCCTGCACATGGCATATCTTTATTCTCTTTATTTTCCGTTATGTGTAGATAGTACATTTTCTTTACACAGTCACCAGTGGATACACAGATGGCTTCCTTGATTTTGCTCTTAAGACCATGCTGCTATAAACCTTGGCTCTTTCTGTTACTCAGGATTTGGGTAGGGATTAGCATTGTAATTGAGTTTAGGGTTTGGGTTTAGGGAGATAAAGATCTAAGGGGGATGTGGGACATTTTCTTGTTATTGAGAATAAATAAGCAACAGTCCCAATTTATGAGGAGATGTTTATTTGAGCTAATGGTTTTTTAAGGGTTCAGTTTTGTTTGGGGGAATAAGTAAAGGAGGTGTATGGTGCAGAGTCAGCTTTGGGATTGGAATGAGGGCTAGCTTAGGCCCACGTTTAGGGCTACAGTAAGTGCTAAAGGTATTAAATATAGTGTTAGGGGCAGTGGTTAGTGGTTAGGATTAGATTTCAAAAACAGAGTTCGGGTTCAGATTAGGAATTAGGGCAGGTTTTAGTGATTAGTCTTGGGGATCAGTGTGAGTTTCCAGTTGGGAGTTAAGGTTAGGGTTACATTTATGATTAATACTGCAGGATACAGGTCCAGTTGGGATAATATCAGTGTCAGAGCTGGGGTCATATTTAGGGTTCAAGTTAGGGTTAAGGTAAAGTTTAGTGTTTAGGTTTTGACATTGGTTGAGTTTAATCTGTGTTTATAGAAGCAGAGTTAGGGATAGGATGAATGGTGGAGGACTATGGTTAGTTTTCATCTCTTTTGTTTTAGAGTGAGGGGTGGGATTAGGAATCAGAGTGGGTGATGTTGTCAGTGTTATTGTAGGGTATTGTCAGTGTTAGGGTAGGGGAGCATGAGTAATAGGTTTGGGGTTACTGCTCATTTATGCTTAGCTCATTGCTTAGGTTTAGTGTTATAGTCAGAGTCTTAGGGTTATAAAGTTAGGGTTAGTGTTATGTTAGAGTTAGGATTATTTTCTAATAGGATGAATCTTTGGGGAGGGTTAGTTCCTGATAATTGTTGGGTTATATATAGGGGTCGGTGTACTGGGAAGATGAGGTTTATGCAGAAAAAGAACAGATGTGAAAAACAACAACAACAAAAAAATGAAACCATAAAAACAAAGAATTTTCCTGGATGTAAAGGATGTAGCATTCAGTTAAGGACATTATCCAACTGGATAGAAGAGCCATTCCAAGCCAAGTACTTTCTAAAAGAGATGAACTTCATATGTACATGAAATTTTAAAAACAGTAAATCAATGTGGAAACATTCCAAAAAGGAGTAAGAATCACAATGCAAATACCATAATTAGAAGTGCTGTAACGGCTGTATTGATATCAGTTGAAACAGAGTTAAAGAGAAAGACTGTGAGCATACGAAGTATTACATTTAGTAAAGAAGATCCACAGATATCAGTGGGTAAGATGTGCCACTTGATTCGAGGAAAAATGTGATATCATGTAGGAGAGCAACTCAATAAATGAAAAGCCTTTTTGGTAGCTAGATATTATTATGGAAAATGTCCTACATCTGTACTCCTGAGATAATATTGAAGCCTGCACAAATATTTTAGGAAAATATTCTTTTTGTCCTGTATGTTTTAAGAGTACTTTTGTACTGTATATAAAGGAAGCTCTAGAGGCAGAAATAGTTTACAGAATGAAAAGTACCATAATAATTTAAAGATGAAACGAGCAAAACTCTGAAAATTTAAACCTTTTTCAGAAATACACATTTGCAAAAAAAATGAGGTATGAGCAGCAGTGTGCAGAAAATGGTAGTGGTGAGCTTTTCTGTTGTGTCTTCTAGGACTTGGGCAGTAAGGAAGGTGCTATTGTTAAGTGACTCAGAGAAGCAGATATCAAGGAAAACAGTAAAACATGAGTAAGCACAAGGTTTCCCATAGCAGGAGGAGAGAGCCCCCCACCTGCTGGAGAATCCAACCCTTTCAGTTGGTTCAATTTTATGAGTGGAATGAGGTTTTGGGGAAGTTATTTTCCATTTAGATCAAACCTTGAAAACTGCTAAGATGTAGTCTTAAAAATCTGTGAGAATTTAAAGAATGTGATGGATGCCTGTGCTTTAGAGGACATAATGAAATGGGAACTAATTCACCCCCGTGACCATCTCAGTGATGGCATCAGGAATTTGAGCACATTATCATTGGTATCCAAACCATATAGCATGATTTATTTGTTACACATTGCAGAACCTGGAATCAGGTAGCAGTGAGCCTGTGGAAAACCATCTGAGTTTACCTGATCATGGTTTTCCTTTAGATAAGGTGATGTTTGTTTAAGCCATTCAGATACAGTGATATTATCTATGATTGCAACTATGGGAGTGTCATGGTAGGGAAGTGAAATGTTCCATAAAACTAAAGGTTTTGTTGAGAGTCGATGGGGTTTTTGGAAAATGATCAGATAATCAAGGCAGCAAGAATAGGTGGATGTCATTATAGGCAGGTGATGGATAAAGGCAATAGCCTTATTGGGTCATGGGGGTGAACATGAGGCATATATGTGTTCCCCGAATTTTTCCTGTCTGACTCCTGGACTCTTCTTTGGTGCCTGGTTGCCATGCTGAGACACTTTCCTCTTCCTGGCCTTTTCTGCTCTTTCTGACTTCCTGCAGGTCTAAAGTGAGAAAAGGTAGGCCATGGACTGCAACCTGTGGATTGTGAACCAAAATAAGCTTTTTGTCTTTCAAATTGTTTATGTCAGGTTCTCACACAACTAGTGACATTTTAAAATCTAAGGAAATTTTATGCAATTTGTACTTGTGAAAAATAATAGCATTTTATTTTTTAACTTGAATTAGAAATATTATTACAGATATTTAATAGAGTGACACTCTATTTATATTTAGATTAATCTATCTTTTATTCATGTTAGCATTAAATTGTGTTTATACCTTTGAAAATGACTGTATGCATGTTTTTCAATGAATTCTAGTTTTATGCAGCTCACTCAGTTTTCTCATATAAGACATAACTATCACATGTAATTCTTGTTGATTTATGTTTTCATCAGTAAAATATTCTATAAATATGCAGAAATTTTTGCAAATCTTTCTAACATACTACCCAATATCTTATTTTTTCATTTTGTTTTGACCTTTTTGTTAATTCATTTAGCAATAAAATATTCTCTCATTTGGATGAATGCATAATAAACCTGTTAGAAGTTTTTATAATAGGGTTAGTTCTTCTTTAGTTCATCCATGTGTATACAGATCTGGGTTTGGGTTACTACTGAGGGCAGTAAATCGGTGTCACTGGAAACATTTAAATCAGAGCTAAACAACCAGGCCATTGGGATTTTATATGTAGAAGTAAATGAGGATTTTGTTCAGGGAGATTCTCAAAGATCCTTCTCCTGCCCACAGTTCTGGTGAATGTGATGGCTGTGTGGCTTCTCCAGGTGTCCATGCACTGTAGAAGAAGAGCTGAGCTTCCTAGGAATGCTGCGTTCCGCTTCTCCAAAGACCCCACTGTTCTGCTGTCATTCATCATATGCTATCAGGTGTTGGTTGGAGCTGGTTGGGCATTTATCCAGGTATTGGTGAGTAAGAGTGGTTTTGAGTGCTCCTTCTACTTGTGTAAAACATATAAACATAAATGTAGATCATGTAAACAATTAATTATCATATGTCAGGAGAGAGAAGAAAATGAATGACTCAGAGATCTCAAAGTGTAATACATTTTATGCACCAGTAGAAGATGTAAAACGTTCATTGCAGAGGGGCAGAAATATAAGAATAGGGAATGAAAAAGTAATTTTTAAAAGACCAAGGATAACTCAGCATTTATTATATTGTATAATTCATCTAGTTATTTAAATGCATTACATAAATTCATTCTCTCAGCAACTCTGAAAAGCCGCTATGCATCATTAACTCTTTCTTACATCTGAAAACAACACTGGATATGTAGTAAGTTCCATGAAGTCAACAGCCATTGAGTAGCAGACCTGGGTCTGACTTACAGGGTCCATTTCACTTTGTTGCCTTCTGCATATATTTGATTTGGTAAAAGGAAATTCAAATTTCATGCAATTTTCTTTTTCCCATTCTGTCTGTTATGGCCAGGGAAATAGCCTTTTAGTTTCTCTGATCTTTGAAGGCTTGGAAGTGAACAATGTAGATATTTCTTAGGTAATTCTGTTGCATAACTGAGCAGCTATAGCTCAACTCAGTCCACAATTAAGAGTCATGGATCCACTAGGGAGGGAAAGAGAAAGCACTGTACAACTCAGGGGTTACACAGCAGGAGCATATGTGTGTGTCTTTTCATTGGTTGGATGAATATGTACTGAATTGCACGAGTGAGTGTAATCAGTGTAAACAAACAAAGTCAAACCCAGACAAAACAAAACGCAAGGAAACAGCATCTGCTCCCTAAACTTCCAGAGAGAAAAGGTGCATCTGCCTAAATTGGTTTACTGCTTGTTTTTTTCTTAGGGTTGCAGCCATTTGTCAAAGATATTCCCCTAAATCCAGGGATTTAAAAGTGGTGAAAGTCTTGTATCTTGGTTTGAATTTCCACATAGAATATAATCAATCACAGCAAAGAATGGGATCCCAGTAATACAAAACTTATCCCAGGAGTTTATTAAATACTTATATTAGCTACTGTTCAGTTCTTTCTCCTGCTGTGAATGTGCAGATCATTTCATACATTAGGGCAATCAGGAAACAGAATGAAGATAATTGCAGGGGGAAAATTATTGGAAGAATTTATTTCTGATAAAGAAATTATATCCATAATACACAAAGAAATTTAAAAACTCAATAATAAGAAAAGAAATCATGAAATCAAAATCCATTCTTTTTTTTTTTTTTTTTGGTACTGTGATTAAACTCATGCCTGCATGCTTGCAAGGGCAGGCACTTATGCCATTGAGGTAAGTCCTAGGCCCGAAACCATGCAATCAAGAACAGGTTTGAGATATGTGGTGAAGGAGGTGTATGAGCACCAAGTAGATGCATAAAGTTTCAGATGAACGTATACTCATAACTTCAAAGATATTCAATGCTTATCTCATGGCACTGATGCATTGCAGATTATCTCTAACCTCCTGGGAAAAACGATTTCATTTCCACAGTACATCACTCACTAAGGCCCTGCGATGAAATCCAAAGTCAGGGTTTGAGTAAGAGAAAAAAGAAAAAAACCTTAATATTTGCAGTTTTGTGTAGCTAATGTTCTTCCTGGCTGACATCTGAAGAAACGGCAGAATGTTGAGAAAGTGTGTAGGAACAATTGTGTGTAACAGAGTTATTTAACGGGGCCAGCAAAATATTTTTTTGGTGGAAATAAAAACATAAGAAAGCATTGCAGGTTTCTGTGGCTTGAGTTTTCAAGTCTATATGGAAGGAATAGGAGAGCCAGAGCATGTTTGACAGTGACAGAGAAATAGCATGCAGCTACTGACAAAAGAAAAACACACACACATGATTTTCAGTTTGCAGTTGCCAGCGATGGATGAAGTGAGTGTTAAATGTCCATGAATCAAGGGATAAATTGCTGGTAAAAGGAACAGGAGAATGATGCACAGCTCAGGATTCTCTTTGAATCCCTCAGTCTGAATACAGTAACTTCCCTGATACTCTTTATGGTGAAATCTCAGAGAACAAAATGGAAGATAGCCAAAACTTACAGTTTATCCTTTTATCAAATTGTGATGACCACCGTGATCGTCAAGGGTATGAACAATGTCCATGTGTATTTGTGTGTGTACGGTGTGTGTGTGTGTGTGTGTGTGTGTGTGTGTGTGTGTGTGTGCAGGGTGTGTGTACATGTGTGTATTCTAGCACATGTATTTTATGAAATTCCTTTCCTCTTCATAAAATAGAATGAACCAAATGTTGAACGTGGCAAACATTTATCTTCTAGTGTTAGACTCCTGCTTGTCCTTCCTTCAGGTTATCTTCACCGTCAGGAGAAGGAACACACAGGCACAACTAGGAGACCCATGTCTACCTCTGCAAATGTAAGTTCAGTATTTTTTCTGCTTTGTGTTTGCCAGAAGACAGTTGGTGCTTACTTCCTATGCATGACTTTCTTTCCTTGTGACTGGGACAAAGCAGTTGACAGCAGAGAAGTGGTAAAGTTTGCTATGTTTCACAGTGTCAGTCCCTGGTGAGCTGGTTGCAAGCTAGAAACAGGGTAATGGAGGGCATCGTGGAAGAAAGGCTGCTCTCCTCATGAAGACCAGGAAGCAGGGGGAGAAGGGAGGAGCCAGAGAGAGACATCCATTCCCCCAGGTTCATGGGCCCAGTGGTCAGGCTCCTAGCTATAAGTATCTCTGTGATTTCCTCACATTCTAAAAGCCCAGCCTATAAGTGTAAGAGATGTTAAGAGGGTATTCCAGATCTCAACCATTATTATTCAAAGATTAACTAAAGTACAGGTTACATAGATGAAGTGACCATATTTGTGTGAATTTACTAGACTGTGTTAATTTGATACATGCATGTGGATAGCTATTAACTCAGCTGTGATAGCATATATATCAAAATACACCTTTATCATTCCTTTGCAGTATATAACTTGTAATCTCTTTCACTGTTTGATAAATGATATGGAATATGTGAAAAATAGTACTCAATTCCAATATTTGAACATTTTATTATTCTAATTTTATTGATTGAATTTATTTTTATCTCTACTGCTAATTTTACTAGCTCCCTTTCTTAAATTCCGTGTGCTTCACAGTGCTAAAATACAATTCCATTTACTCTGAGGGTGTCACTTTACTTTTCACTTTTGTATTTTAGTTGGTTTTCTCTTATTCTTTCATATTGCATCAGTAAAGTGAGTTTTCCCCTTTAATAGGTGAATGCAACATGATTTTCTGAATTATTTTTAAAATATATATTAGGTAACATTATTATACATCTGAAATGTTAATTTCATATTCTACTCTGGCCTATTCCACTTCTCATCACTTCTCATTTTTATTCTCTGTGTCATTAATCTAGCGCATCCAGTATGTCCTATGATTCTGATACTATTACTTGTGATTCATCTTAAATTGAGAATTTCAGTTGAATTTTTTTCAGTTGTATTTCTAATAAGTCTATTTGTGCATTGACTTCTAGGAATTCTTAGTTTATTTTCCCTAATTCTCTTTTTCTACTGCAGCAGTGTATCATATGTTGCATAATGATTTCCTCTTGGAATCATTCAGTTCTCTATTGTATCTTATTTGACCTCATTAAATAATAAATTATTTGATTAATTCAGCTCCTTATTTGTATCATCTTTAATGTAATTGATTGTTTTCAGTATTCTGGTTTCAAATTCTTTGATATTTCAATTGTGATATCAGTAGAATTGGTTTTAGAGAACTGCAAATATTGTGAATCTGTTTTCTTGGCTCTCTGATGAATCTAGTGTGTGTGAGTTTATGTGTCTGTGAGAGACAGACAGAGAGAGAGAGAGAGAGAGACAGAGAGACAGAGAGAGAGACAGAGAGACAGAGACAGAGACAGAGACAGAGAAAGAATGTGTGTGAGTGTAATATGTTGAAGTTTGAGGATCACTGGGGTTGGAGAGTGAAAGACCTATTGTGCATAAACCTTTTGAGGAAGTGCCTTATTCATTGTGATGTTTCTTAGGCTGTCAGGGTCCCAGCAGGAAACAATGCAGTCAACCCTTTGTTCTCCAATTTGGCACTAGATTGAGCTCTTAGCACTGTTTCTGAGGACAGAGTAACCACCAAGTATATCGGTATCTGAAAAATAATCCATAAATTCACGTGTAATTTAAAACTTCTTTGAAATATTCTCCAAGTGTTTCATTCCTCAGGAACTGACAGAGGAAGTAATAATTTGGGACCTACTAGGGGAGCAGTAGGCTTTAATGAGAATATTCTTGTATAACAGAAATGAGGGATGGAGTATGTGAGAGACTATGAAAAGAGAAGGAACAAACAAGGGAAGTGAATTTGAATGAAATGTGAGAAAAACATAATGAGATTATCCCAGTGAATGAGCAAGCAGGTGCATGTGTCTGACAGGCTGGCAGGCAGAGGAAAGGGATCTGTAGGCAGACAAAGGCGTCTTCAGGTTTCCTGGCTAATCCTGACAGGAGCCAGGTAAAGCTTTATTGGAGGGAACATTAAGAGTAAGGCGGGGCTGAAATACAGAGCAGTAGTTAGAGTCAAACTTGGGCAGATGCAGAAACCAGGCAGCCTGCCACTGAGAGAGCTCACCTTACTCTGAAAGCCTTCTCTTGTCACCGTCAAATACATATGAGAATAAATAATGTAATCATGTTGTTCAACTACATGCACTCTTGTTAGTGTTTTATCTAACAGCATCATCAGTCATTTGAATAAGAGTTATAGTTGATATAGTAAACACCATTCATGAATATGTGAGCATTTACCCTAGGTATAGGAAGTTATGAAAAGTACTCCGTATAATACTGGAAATACACTCGCATGCACACACACACACACACACACACACACACACACACACACGTATCCACACAGAAAATGTGATACTTAGAATCCTGCAAGAGGATCAGCAATCCTACAAGTGGTACTTCAGATTAGGAAGTAATTGTGAACTTGAAAAAGAAACAACAAACCGCTAATGAGAAATAACATTAAGAAAAAGGAATGAACAGAAGTCTAGAGTAACTTCAGGACACTATGAAATAATCTGAGAAAACTGAGCCATCAACAGTTAATACTGTTTTCGCAATAAGAAACTGAAGAAGCCATTGGCTATGCAGTTCAAAGCATCCTGGGAAGGACAACTCCAAAAGAGTCCTCAGTGGGGCTGGGGATTTAGCTCAGCGGCATAAGAACCTGCCTTGCAATCAGGAAGTCGTGAGTTTGATCCCTGGTACCGATAAAAAAGGAAAAAGGCAAAAAAAAAAAAAAAAAAAAAGAGTCCTCAGTATGTGCACAGAAGGAATACTAAATGCAAAAATTTTAAATTCAGTGTGAAAACACCGCATAATAATAACTTTAAAGTACTAAAGAAAACTTATACTATTGCAATTATAACTTTCAGCCACATATAATAATAACATTTATGAGAAAATAAAGAATTGGGGAAGATTGATTTATATTATGCAAAGTTTCTCATGCAGGAGGTTGTTCAATAAGGGTTGACCTATATAGTCCATGTTTACTGTTTTCCATCACCTGAGTTCAATCTCCAACACCAAAAGAGAAGTTATTTCATATATCATTATGAATACATGAAATTATTTCATATATTAAAGTGACCTTAATATATCATGAATTTTAAAATAAAAGGTCATTACTGCATGAAAAAAGGAAACATATCAAGAATAAAGATATCACCAAATCTTCAAAAAACTTAAAATGGAAAGTAAAATATAGTTTCCTGTTAATGAGTTTGATGATGAAAAAGCAAAATTCTTTAAAGGTACATTAGAAAAAGAGAGATAATAAGAGTAATTGCCTACTTCATAAGTGCAGTAATTTTATGAGAATTATTCATAGGAATGAAATATTAGTAGTAGTTTTTCCTTTGTAAAGCAAATTCTCACCTACCCTTCCCACTGGAATGATGGACAACAGATTGCATGCACTCTCTTTTCATGTGAAAGATGCTAATAAGAGTATTTAAGAAGAAAAAGATAGGGCATCCTGGGCACTGAATTACTTGCCCAAAGCAGGCAAATTGAAAATAACCTGAGCAATAGGATAAGTATGAAGCAGCAGGAAAATCAGTGACAGCCATCAACGCTGTTTTATGTCAGACGAGTCTATTTCTGAAAATTATATTGTGCTAGGAAAGCTGTTTGCTGGTGTGATTAGCCTGCCTGTAATCAGGCACCATCTGATAAGTGTTCTCTCCACTGACCTCTGTTTTAGTAAATGTAACGGCAGTATTACTTTCTACTCATTAATTATTCGGATGCAAAAACGTGTTCATAATTTGTTGCACAGCATTGTAGTTTTTAAAAAAATCATATTGTATTTCATAGCACATTGACCTTACAGCAAGAGAGACAGCATGATATCTTCAATTATTTCAGAAATAATTTCCATTTTGTGATATGTGTAGTGATATAAGAAATGAGTGGGCAAAAGGAAATAGTTCAGATGTTCCTTCTAGCCAGTAGATTGTATTATGCTTACTTACTAACATGATATAAATGCTTTGTACCCTGTGTAATAAAGGACATAACATATACCTAATTTATTTAGAATTATAAAGTTTCCTGAATTTATATATTATTTGCAATGTCAGATTCTATTGATGTGTTTCATACCCAAAACCAACAGCAAACTTTCAAACTCATACACATACATAAAAATGAATGTAAGAGTGCTGGGGTGTAGCTCAGGGGCACAAGTGCCTGCCTGTCAAGTGTGAGCTCTTGAGTTTGCTTTCCAGTACCAAAAAAAAAAAATCATGTAAGGAAGAAATCACATGTAGTAAACATAACTGAAAAAAGACAACAGCATGTAAATGTATGAAACTGAAGACTTTTATGTTTTTTTTTTTTTTTGTCTTTTTCCTTTTTATCGGTACCGGGGATCGAACTCACGACTGCCTGCTTTCAAGGCAGGCGCTTATGCCGCTGAGCTAAATCCCCAGCCCCGTCTTTTATGTTTTGAGAGATGAGCCCGAACATTTTAAATAATACATACATACATATTAAATTATTAATTAAATTGCAAAGAAAAACAACTAGAAATATGTACAAAGATAGCATTCATAAAATGTAGATACAAACAAATAATAAATGATAATTTTCTATAACATTCATGTAGAACAGTGTGTGATTTTGTCACTAACTCAGAAATATGAGCAATACAATAGAATGTAAAATATACAAATGAATTCATCAAAAGTTTTGAATTAGTAAAAGACTGATAAACGTCAGTCCAAATAGAGTTTTTGTATTTTACTTTGGATATGCAAAGTACAAATATAAAGTGTATTCAATATTAAGACATATTAGCTTCCTAAACTTAACAGTTTAATTTAATTT